CTGGGGCCCGAAAACGGCCGGCGGAGGCCGAAAAAGGCAAAACACCTTCCCGAACCCGGAACCTCGAAGCTGCCCGCACTTCCTGCTGTCTGGAAGCAGTGCTTGGCCACCTCAGATGAGGAGCAACGATAGGGGGGGACTGGCATAGGGGGGACATCGACCTGGAATCAACGATACATCGCCGATAGATTGGCGATAGGCCCCAGCATGTTCCTGGGCGGGGGTGGGCTATGGGGCCTCTATCGGAGATGCATGGACGATTGGGGGTCGATGCATCCTCCCCTATGCCTATCCCCCCCCACACGACGGTCGGAAGAAGTGGGTCGAACCATGAAGTGGGAAGGCACTGGAAACAGATTGGGTTTCCGCCCGCCCCCCTGAAGTGCAGGGAAACGGAACAAGCACTCGACGATTGGAGTAAGCGGGCGGCTAAGGTCGATTGGGATCTGGAGCTCCAGCAGCACCTGCTCTCAACGACGACCAGGCGGTTCCAAGTCTGGGCAGGGTGGAGGTCGAGGGGCGGCGGTCGGACATCCGCGGCCCCGGCCATGGAGGAGGAGGAGGAGGAGGAGGAGGAGGAGGAGGAGGAGGAGGAGGAGGGAGGAGGAGGAGGGAGGAGGAGGAGGAGGAGGAGGAGGAGGAGGAGGAGGAGGAGGAGGAGGAGGCCGTTGGGGCGGGGGCGCACCGCCATGCGGCCGTTCTCTTGGAAGGTCATGTTGAGCCTGGCGCGCGCGCGCCGCGCAGCGGCCCACGCACCGCCGCCACGCGCGCGGGCGCCAGCCCCGCGCCGGCGGCGGCAGGGGCAGCCAGCGTGTGCTCCTGGACCGGTCCGCATCGGCTCGGGAGACCTTGGCGGCGCGCACATGGGGGTGGGGGGAGGGGGGGGAGGCTTCTTAGAAGGAGGCTGCTTCTTAGAAGGCGCCGGCCTTTCGTCTACAGATAAGGCCCGCGACTCCTAAGAAGCAGGGGTGCTTCGAAGAAGCCCTCCCCCCTTCCCCCACCCCCCTCTGCGCGTGGCCGAAGACCGCATCGGCTCGGAGTGTGCGTCGAGTCGGGCCGCATCGACCCCGAATCGGCATGGAAGCGGCCGCGTCGAAATCGCCCGTCGAAGGGGCCGCGCATCGGCGGCGCCTGGCTGCACAGCAGCGCCGTGCAAACACCAGGCCGCCTCGGATCGTCGGAGTATCGCCGGCAGGAACCGACAGCGAATCGGATCGATCGGATCGGAATGGACCCTGGCGTCCAGGAAGGGAGCTCTCCCCTGCGAGGCGGGGATTTATCCATAACCACCGCCTGGGGGCGCGCAGAGGACCCGATGGACAGGTGATCTGCGTAGACTGACCGAGGATTACGGTGGACGTGCGGGCTGGCACTGTGTCGCTACCACACACGCGTGGGGCGACTTCCAGGGCGAGTGCCTTCCGCAGTGATGCTGCCACCCGCTCCTCCTTTTCCTGCTCCTCCTCCTCCTCCTGCTCCTCCTCCACCTCGTCCTCCTCGTCCTCCTCGTCCTCCTCCTCCTCCTCCTCCTCCTCCTCCTCCTCCTCATTCTCAAGCACTGAAGGCACGAACATTCGTCGAACGATGCCCTCCCCCCCAGGGCCGGTCGGCCCTGAGGGATTGATCAAGCTAAACAACTGACGACTGTGGAGCGTTCGCTCCAATCGGCGGCTGGTGAGGTATTCCGTAATCGAGGTAACTCGACAGCAGACAGTAGGAAGAAGTAAAGGGGAAGAGAGTCCTCCTCCTCCTCCTGCTCCTCCTCCTATCCGCGGCGTTGAAATCTCAAGAATGCTGTTCTGGCCGCAGTTTCGGATTTCCAAACGGTTGTCTTCCAACGGGGCACCCCCCTCAGCGAACATGAACCTTTGCAGGGGCCTATCAAGAAGGACCTTGGAGGGAGGGCTTATTGCAACATCGCTGGGGAGTCTTGGGTTTGTACTGGTCCTCCTCCTCCTCCTCCTCCTCCTCCTCCTCCTCCTCCTCCTGAAGCTTCCCATGCATTATTTTCACATGCGCAAGTTTTTGCCGACCTCTTCCATGCAAGCGCCTCGGCGTCCCCCCGCCACGCTCTCACTGCGCCACGCGCGCGGAGCCGAGTCCGAGCCCGACCGCCTGGGGGGATAGAGCTTCGGGGGCCTCGGCAGGCGGTGGAACATAGGAACGTGCCGCCGCGCCGCTGGCCTCGACGCGCCCAAGTGGACGACGCCGACGCCATCCATGGCAAACCCACGGCAGGCCCTGCGCCCCGCGCCCAAGCAGACGACGCTGGCACCGCCGCGGCAAACCCCACGGCGAACCTCGAGTCCGAGGCGGCGCTTGCCCTGGTGCCACGGCGCCCTCCCCAAGAGGCAATGCCGCGAGTCGGAACACACGGCTCGGTGACTTGGGCGTGGCTTAATGGGGGGGGTCATAGATGGGGGGGTCAGAAAAGGTCCCCTTTCGTGCCCCCTTCGGGCCCCTCCAGAGCCCCAGGGGGCTCGTTTAGGTACCGTTTGGGTACCTTTTCGAACCACCCTCGCCACCCCCTCATTTACGACCCCCCCATTACGCGGCGCCCAAGTGACATATGTTGCCCCCCCCCCGGGGCCCAATATGCAAACCCACCGCCCCCCGAGGCCCCCGAAGCTCGATCTCCCAGGCTGTGGTCATGGACGAATTGGGCGTCGCTGAATGGGGGGGCGATCAATGGAGAGGGAAGGAAGGTGCCGTCTTTGGGGCCCGAAGAGCTCCCTGTAGGACCCGAAAGCGCGGCCCCCCCGACGGCGAGAGAAAGCACGACCGCACCTCGGGCAAAAGGACCTGGGCTGCGCGGGGCAGCCCTCTAGATACACCGCGACCGCACTCTCCGCACCTCCCCCGAGATCCTGGCGTCGCATTTTTCTGTGCGCATCCGGCGATCTGTCGGCGTAGCTTACTTGGGGGGAGGTCTTCAATGGGGGGGGGAGGACAGGTTCACTTTTCGGGCCCTCAAGGGCCACCCTTTTGGGCCCCAAATCGTCCCTTTCGGGGCCCCGAAGGGCACCTTTGCTGCAACCCTCGCTGCCCCCACCGTGCATCGACCCCCCCGCGACGCCCAGGATCGCGCCCTGCTTCGGGCACCGGGGCCCCCACGCATCGATGCGACACGGCGCAGGCGCAGGAGGAGGACGGAGGAGGAGGAGGAGGAGGAGGAGGAGGAGGAGGAGGAGGAGGAGGAGGAGGAGGAGGAGAGGAGGGGGGGAGGAGGAGGGGGAGGAGGAGGAGGAGGGGAGGAGGAGGAGGGGGAGGAGGAGGAGGAGGAGGAGGGGAGGAGGAGGGGAGGAGGGGGAGGAGGAGGAGGAGGAGGAGGAGGAGGAGGAGGAGCGACGAAGCATGCTTTCTCAGGAATTCGCGCGGCTTTCTTGGATCGGCGATGGGGGGCGCTCCGCGCAACACGAAGGGGGGCCCAGCTCCGATCCAGGAGATCCGCGCGGACCCACGAGAACTTTTGCTTGTGCCGTTTTCTGGTTCCTCGAAAAAATGCAGCAAAGAGATGGGGTCTCGTTTTGTTGTTCCCAACCATCCTGTGGTGTTGGGTCCTCGTTTTGAAGAGACGTCGCCCCGCGTTCCTCCTTCCTCTTCCCTCCTCCCTTCCTCTCATCATCATCATCATCATCATCATCATCATCATCATCATCATCATCATCATCATCATCATCATCATCATCATCATCATCTCATCATCCATCCTCATCCTCATCCTCATCCTCATCCTCATCCTCATCCTCATCCTCATCCTCATCCTCATCCTCATCCTCATCCTCATCATCATCATCATCATCATCATCCTCGTCATCATCGTCGTCATCATCGTTGTCATCACCATCATCATCAACATCAGCATCTTCAACATCATCACACGTTTCGTTGCCCCATTAGGAGCTCCGCCGAAGGTCCCAGTGGCACAATTCGCATGCGTCCCCGCCACTCATTTCGGCACACCCCTTTGGAGCTCCGCCGAAGGTCCCAGTGGCACAGTTCGCATGCGTTCGCGCCACTCATTTCGGCACACCCCTTACACGTTTCGTGGCCCCATAGGAGCTCCGCCGAAGGTCCCAGTGGCACAAGTCGCATGCGCCCCCGCCACTCATTTCGGCACACCCTTTCAAACGTTTCGTGGCCCCATAGGAGTGGCACAGTTCGCATGCGTCCCCGCCACTCATTTCGGCACACCCTTTCACACGTTTCGTGGCCCCATAGGAGCTCCGCCGAAGGTCCCAGTGGCACAGTTCGCATGCGCCCCCGCCACTCATTTCGGCACACGCCTCACACGTTTCGTGGCCCCATAGGAGCTCCGCCGAAGGTCCCAGTGGCACAGTTCGCATGCGTCCCCGCCACTGATTTCGGCACACCGCGCACACGTTTCGTGGCCCCATAGGAGCTCCGCCGAAGGTCCTAATGGCACAATTCGCATGCGTCCCCGCCGCTCATTTCGGCACACCCCTCACACGTTTCGTGGCCCCATAGGAGCTCCGCCGAAGGTCCCAATGGCACAGTTCGCATGCGTCCCTGCCACTCATTTCGGCACACCCCTCACACGTTTCGTGGCCCCATAGGAGCTCCGCCGAAGGTCCCAGTGGCACAGTTCGCATGCGTCCCCGCCACTCATTTCGGCACACACCTCACACTTTTCGTGCCCCCCATAGGAGCTCCGCCGAAGGTCCCAGTGGCACAGTTCGCATGCGTCCCCGCCACTCATTTCGGCACGCCTCTCACACGTTTCGTGGCCCCATCGGACCTCCGCCGAGGGTCCCAGTGGCACAGTTCGCATGCGTCCCCGCCGCTCATTTCGGTACACCCCTCACACGTTTCGTGGCTCCATAGGAGCTCCGCCGAAGGTCCCAGTGGTACAATTCGCATGCGTCCCCGCCACTCATTTCGGCACACCCTTTCACACGTTTCGTGGCCCCATAGGAGCTCCGCCGAAGGTCCCAGTGGCACAGTTCGCATGCGCCCCCGCCACTCATTTTGGCACACGCCTCACACGTTTCGTGGCCCCATAGGAGCTCCGCCGAAGGTCCCAGTGGCACAGTTCGCATGCGTCCCCGCCGCTGATTTCGGCACACCGCACACACGTTTCGTGGCCCCATAGGAGCTCCGCCGAAGGTCCCAATGGCACAATTCGCATGCGTCCCCGCCGCTCATTTCGGCACTCCCCTCACACGTTTCGTGGCCCCATAGGAGCTCCGCCGAAGGTCCCAATGGCACAATTCGCACGTGTCCCCGCCACTCATTTCGGCACACCCCTCAAACGTTTCGTGGCCCCATAAGGAACTCCGCCGAACGTCCCAATGACACAATTCGCATCCGCCCCCGCCACTCATGTCGGCACACCGCACACACGTTTCGTGGCCCCATAGGAGCTCCGCCGAAGGTCCCAGTGGCAGAATCCGCATGCGTCCCCGCCACTCATGTCGGCACACCCCTCACACGTTTCGTGGCCCCATAGGGAACTCCGCCGAAGGTCCCAGTGGCGCAGTCCGCATGCGTCTGCCTCACCCAGTACAGCGTTTCGTAGCCCCATATGGAGCCCCACCGAAGGTCCCCGTGGCGCAGTCCGCATTGTTTTGTTCGTTTTCGTTCGCGTTCTGTACCACGTCACTCATTTCGGCACACCCCATGCACGGTACGTTGCCTCGTGGGATCACCACCGAACAGGTGAATGACAATTGCGGTACTCACACCTGCACATGGTTGGGTCCTTCGCCAGGCTAATGTTTGCTGCTGCTGTTGTTGTTGTAGTTGTTGCTGCTATTGTTGTTGTAGTGGTTGTTGTTGTGGTTGCTGTTGCTTTTACTGCTGCTGTTGTTGTCGTTGTCGTTGTCGTTGTTGTTGTTGTTTTTGTTTTTGTTGTTGTTGTTGTTGTTGTTGTTGTTATTGTTGCTATTGCTGCTATTGCTGTTATTGTTGCTGTTGCTGTTGCTGTTGCTGCTGCTGCTGCTGTTGCTGTTGCTGTTGCTGTTGTTGTTGTTGTTGTTGTTGTTGTTGTTGTTGTTGTTGTTGTTGTTGTTCGTTGTTGTTTTGCTTTCTCCCGCAACTGCTTAGGACAACACCCTCCCAACCAAGCGTGGCTCCTTTCCCGCCGAGGGGGGGAGAAACGGGAGCCGGGGCAGAACCTTCGATAGGTTACAGAGGCCACCGCGTGCCCAAACGCTATCCCCACGCCCTGGCCGTGATTTCAACAGTATTGCACCCCTGCCGTGCCGCCAGATCTCGGCGGCCGCGCCTCGGCCGGGGGGCCTGGGCTGCTCGAGGCAGCTCTCGAAAGCCGCGAGCGTCCGCCAACTCTCGATGTCGCGGACGTGCGCCACGGCACCACGCTGGCGGTTCGATGTCGGAGCCGTTTGGGGGTCTGAGGTGGCCCAGCACTGGTTCCAGCCTGCACGGACACAGACGAGCGGGCATGTTCGAGGTTCGGAGCTCCTGGGCGGGGTGGGCTATCGGGACCCTACCATTTCAGGAGGACTGTAGTTTTGCTCCCCCCCCGCTTCTCTCTGCGGGGAACAATCTCCGCCCCTCCTCCTCCTCCTCCTTCTCCTCCTCATCCTCCTCCTCCTGCTCCCCCCCTCCTCCTCGCCCTTTCCTCCTCCTACTCCTCCTGCTCCGCCTCCTCCTCGTCCTCCTCCGTCTCCTCCTCGCGGTCGTTATCGTAGTCGTAATCGTAGTCGTCTGCATCGTAGCCGTAGCTGTCGTCGTCGTCGTCGTCGTCGTCGTCGTCGCCGTCAGGGCGGATGTTGTTTCCTCTATTGTTGGGCGTGCTGGATCATGTTTTTTCTCATAGGGAATAGTCCATTGTGGGCTATCCTGCACGCGAGAGGATTTGTTTAGCATCCTTGCCATGGGGACAGCACTAGGAATCAGTGGTTGTGGTTGTAGTCGTGATTGTCGTCGTGATTGTAATCGTAGTCGTAGTCGTCGCGGCGGAGATGAGCTTCCCACTCATGTTCGCTGGGCTGGATAATGCTCTACCCTGCACAACAGAGGAATCTTGAGCAAGGTTGTAATGAAGAGGATTGCAATCTAGATCGACACATTCTTCGCCGAAGGCGTTACTCACAATCTACTACTCGAAGCCGTAGTCGTACCACGGTCGTAGTCATAATCGTAGTCGTAGTCGTCGTCGTTGTTGTGCGGCGGGTGCTGCGGAGACTTCATTCTTTTACACTACTGGTGGAGCCCCACTCCGTCAATACGGCGTAAACTAATAGTTCGTTTCCAGCGATTGGGGGGAGTTCTAAAGACCTATCAGCCATAGGGGTTATCGGCGATTCATGGGCGATACGGGGTCGATGCATTCCCCTTAAGCCTATCTCCCCCGAACGTTCACTGGTCTCAACCTTGCCATCGCTCGGACGTCCATTCCCCGTGCATTGTTTGGTTTCGTTTTTTTTTGCTTGTTTGTTTGTTGTTTTGTTTTGTGATTCTCGAGAAGATCCAAGATGCTCCAAGATGGTCTTGTACACAGCCGAGGGATGCCAAGACATTCCCGGGTCACAACATACATTTATAGCGGCCGTTCGGGACGATCGGGGCATCCCTGGAACGCCCTCGGCCAGGCGCAGCTGCTGAATGGCATGTCGAGGCTGGAAAACGCTACAGAATCGCCGACATCGTCCGAAAACATGAAACCCCGAATCCGTCGCCCCCCCGCAAACTCATAACTCAAATATCCGGTGGTCATTCGGGGCGATTCTGGGCACCCGTGGAACGCGCTCGACGGGGCGCAACTGATGGAAGGTACCCCGAGGCCGGAAAACCGCCGAAAACCAAGGAGAACGTCCGAAAACCTTCTGAGCCGATGCCCCTGACTAGAGGCCTCCCAAATTCGGTACAATCAGATGGGGTCGGAGGATCGCGCCGCATCGCCGACGTATCGCCGATGCATCGGCGATCCATCGGGCGTCGCCGTGGAAAAAATTGGGCTCCACATCCAGCCGCATCGCCGATGCATCGGCGATGCGGCGCGACCCTCCGAGCCCGTCTACTCCTCAGATCATGGAATACCGGATTTTCTCGGTCGCGATCGATAGCGACCGATCGGCACTCCAAATCGGTCGCGACCGATACCAGGAGTTGAAGCAAAACTGGTAGCCACCGAACTCGTCGGTCCCGTCTGGAAACCTTCCATGTCCAATTATCAGGGTCGGACCCCATCCCGGAGGCCTGGACCGCTTCTGGCGGCAGGGCCTCCTGCAGTGCGATATCTTCATTTGTTCAGAGCGGGGTCCCCCGAAATCCCGATCCTTTCCCCCCCGGGCCGGTTTTCCATCCTGATCAAACCGTTCTTTGTTTTTTGACGGTCCCGGGGCCCAGTGATGGCCCCTGACGCCCGAAAACTGTGAAAAAACCTCCCGCCCTCATTTTCGGGCGCGGCCCGACCGACCCCTAGCAGCCCATGCCATTCCGCGACGCCCACCTGTGCACCCGCACGTCTTGGGGCGAGGCGATGGGTGACGTCACAGAAGGGGATGGTTTGCCAGGGGTCGGTTAGGCCGCGCCTACGTTTTCTCACTGCGCGAGCATGTCTGGCAGCAGGGCCTCCTGCCGTGCGTGCCTGCCGCAAATGCGCCCGGCCCGAAGAGCGCGGCGCCGGGCGCGGGGAAGCGCCCGTGCTGCTGCCGCGCCCCGGGCTCGTTGGGCCGGTGCTGCACGGGGTCTGACCTTGGGCCGGGAAGGCGCGCCCTGTGGGTGGCCCGCCCAGCTGGCGGGGAAGGGGCGCGTGGCCATGTGATGATTTAGACGCCCGAAATGGGTACGGAAACAATGGGCACAATGCCCAACAACAAATGTTGTCCCAAACCAACAAAGGCCGCTGTTGGGCAGGCGGCCTTCTGTCTCGAATGGACACAGGCCGCGGCGGCGCGGACAGCGAGGCCAGTTCAAAATGAACAGGAACTGATGTTGGGCATTGTACCCATTCTTTCCGTACCCATTTCGTTCGTGCCGAGATGATACGAGTAGGAAGAGCACTAACACTCACAGCGGTGCCGGACAGGACAAGAGCAACAACACGAGACAGACATAGGAGGACATGACGACCCAGACTCATAACGGGAGGGGGGAGCGTGGCCCGAGACTGATGTCGCCGCGCCGCTTGTTCGGAGCACGCACAGGTCGACGACGCCGTCCCCGCGGCCAGCCTAGCTGCAATCCCTGCGTCCGAGGCGGCGTCTGCCCTTGCGGTCGAGGCGCCCTCCCCCAAGACGCGAGGCCGCGCGTCGGGACCAACGGCGCGGCGACTCCCTCGGAGGGGGCAGACGTGCGCGAGGGTGGCCCCTCCTCTTCGGCGGGGGGGCGGCAGCAGAGCGGCGGGAGCCGGCGGCCTCGCCGGCGGCAGGCCAGCAGAGGCAAAAAGGTGCGCCCGGTGACGTTCCCAGGGATGACATGACCGGCCCCTGGGCAGGAGTGAAGGGGCCCCAGGACCCACAAATAAATACACACAAATAAAAATATGCCCCATATTTTCACATATTTTCTGGGTTTCTCTCTTCCCCCCCACTTCCTATATTTTCCCATATTTTCTGGGGAATCGAAGATTAATTGTGTCTGTGTGTTTTTTCCTCTCCTGAAGGAGCCCCTTGGCGGGAGTCCGGATATCCGAGGATACGTAGCACCCCGCAGTTGCGGATAAGGGTGAGGGGGCGGGCGCGGTGGGTCGCGGGTGGGTCGCGGGGTGGGTCGCGGGCGGGTCGCGGGGCGGGTCGCCGACAACAAACAAGCAGAATCCGCATGCCGCACGGCCACGTCCACTTTGCAGCGTTGCCGACCTGCGGCAGTCACACAATCCCTGTTGGCGGGCATGTGGTCTGACCCTTCTCGGGAACCCTCGGGGGGAGCCTTCGGGAGCCCAACGGGGCAGGTGTGGGCCCGTGTTGGCTCCGTGGCCCAACGGAGCTGTGTGACCCCGTGACGGCCAGGACCGCCGCTCCAGTATAGGGCCCTTGCGACGCGAACTGATAACAATCATGTAGCCATGCAGGGGGGTGAAAAGGCGTGTACAGTGAGGGTCTTGACCTAAGGAACCCTAAATAAGGAACGAGGCCCCTTTTTTCCATAAGTTAACCTTCGATTTCCGATCGATAACATAAGGCAAACCTGAGGCAAGCTGTGAAACACTTAAGGAACGTGGAGCCCCTCCCCAACCAAAAGGGTTCCTTCTTCAGGGCCCCGACTGTAAGACATGTGGCTGTCCCCCTCCCCCTTTTCCGCCTCCCCCAGGGTCCGAAATCCGATTGCATGGGGGGGGGGACGAGCTTGCCAACCATCCCGGACGCTCTCCGTAGCACCCAAACAGCCCCAAGGCAGCCCAACAGGGCCCAGACAGAGCGCCAAGACAGTCGAAGAGAGCGTCATGACGGCCCAGGGTAGCCCCACGACGATCCCAGACGTCTTCAAGATGGCCTACGAGGCCCCAAGACCGCCCAAAAGCGCCTCCGGAGGATCGCCGAGACGGCCCCAAGAGGTCAAAATCATCCCATTCCCTTGGAAGATCGTGCACGTTCATCACGCTCGAATTTTACGTTTCGTTTCGACAGCCCACACGACGGTCCACGTCGCCCCCAAGATCGTCCCAAGACGGCCCATGATGCCTCCAAGAAGGCCCCAAAACGGCCCCAAAAAGACAGCCCCAGGGCCCCCCGAAGACGGCCCAAGACAGCACCTGGTGGGCCCAAAGATGCGTCCAAGAGGGGGGGCGCAAATCGGGGCCAGTGGCATGTGCGCGGCCCAGGGGGGGACCGTGGACGTGTTGCAGTAAGAAGAGGCGCCATGAGATCTGGAGAGACATCATGCCCCTCGCCACGACCCTCGCCATGATCTCCCCCCCCCCCTCGTCATCCCCCCCCCTGTCTGCCGCCCCTGAGAGTTGAGCGCCAAATCGGCCCCCAGACCCCTTGATGGGGAGCGAGCGCAGCAGCTCTTCGAGCTGCGTCCCGCCGCGAGGGACCATCGTAACTTCGGCGGGTCTCTCCCGCCTGGTCCAGATCCAGTCAAGAGCGGTCCCCAGACCCCTCCGAGGCGGGCCCAGCCGTGGCGATGAGAAGCCCCCCGGCGGCCCAAAGAATGTGCAACGCCCCGCAGTTGCGGATGCAACTGTGCGGGGGCGGGCGCGGGTGGGTCGCGGTTGGGTCGCGGGGCGGGTCGCGTGGGACGACGACAACAGAAAACAAGCAGAATCCGCGCCGCGGATCTCTACTTCAGCCACGCACCCAGGGAAAGCCAATCTGGTGCTGGCATTTCATGGGGGCTCTTGTTTCTTGTAATGAAAAGGACGGCTTGTAGAGACTTATGAGGAAGGGGCTTGGGACGGGATGGTAGACTGCAGCATCATCCTGACGCACCTTTGGTTTACTATGATCCTCCTCCTCCCTCCCCCTACTCTTCCCTTATCTCACCCTTCTCCTTTCCCTCTGGACGAATGATAGAAGCACGCGCGTATTTTCTCGGAGGTCCGCGCGAATTTCTTTGCTGGACCCCCCTTCCGAGCGCACTGAGCGCGCCAGGGACGGCGGCGGAGGCGCTGCCAGGGGGGACCCAGCGCCGATCCAAGAAATCCGCGCGAAGCTAAGAGAACTTATGCTTGTGCAGTTCCCCGATTCGGCTTGCCTCAGGGGTTCTTACTTGGTTAAAAGTTGGTGCCTCTTAATGCTACTTTGCCCGTTTCCCGGAGGTTCCTCGGGTTCCTCGCGTTCCCCGCCCACAGTGCCTCCTACTGTTCCCCAACTAGGCTTGCCTAAGGGGTTCTTACTTGGCTCCCCAATAAGGGCTTGCCAAAGGGGTTCTCACTTGGTTCAAGGTTGGTGCCTGCTAATCGTACTTTGCCCGTTGCCTGGAGGTTCCTCGGGTTCCTCGGGTTCCCCGCCCCCGGTGCCTCCTGTTGTTACTTTGCCCTTCCCCCGGAGGTTGCTCGGGTTCCCTGGGTTCCTCGGGTTCACCGCCCCCGCCCCAAGCAATGCCAACCACTGCCAAGCAATGCCAATCCATGCAAGGCAATGCCAAACAATGCCAAGCAAGGTCAAGCAATGCCAAGCAATGCCAAGCCATAGCAAGCCATGCCAAGCAATGCCAAGCAATGACAAAAAATGCCACGCAATGCCAACCCATGCAAAGCAAGGCCAAGCAACGCCAAGTAATGTCAAGAAATGCCATGCAATGCCATGCAATGCCATGCAATGCCAAGCAATGCCAAGCAATGACAGGCAATGCCAATCCATGCAAAACAATGCCAAGTAAAACCGAACAATGCCAAACGATGCGCCCAGCGATGCAAGAAACTTTCCACTAATTGGGGTCGCGCCGGGTTCATTTTTTGGTTCTTAGACCCCAACTCCTCCCCTCCCTTTTCCCTACTCCCCCACCCACCTGCCCCTTCCTCTGGCTGGGCCCCCGGCTTCAGCAAGATCTCCTCGGCGCCCTTCCCGTCCTCCACGCTGCCCTTGTAGGGGCTCCACGCCACCTCGACGTACGCCTCCAGGGACGCTGCGAGGAGGACCACGAGGAGAAGGAGGAGGAGAAGGAGAAGGAGAAGGAGGGGGAGGAGGAGGAGGAGGAGGAGGAGGAGGAGGGAGGAGGAGGAGGAGGAGGAGAAGGAGGAGGAGGAGGGGAGGAGGAGGAGGAGGAGGGGAGGAGGATGGCCGCGTGCGACGCACGCCACGGCCGAGAGAGAGAGAGAGAGAGAGAGAGAGGAGAAGGGGCGGAGGGGAGGAGCAGGGGGAGGTCCAGCCCGACCCCCCCCCTCCTCCCTTTCCCCCTCCTCCTCCTCCTCCTCCACCACCACCTACCCCTTCTCCCCTTCGTCGTCGTCCTCCTCCTTCTCCTCCTCCCCCTCCTTCTCCTCCTCCTCCTCCGCGCGGCGGCCGTGTCCGCCTCTCTGACGCCCCGAGCTCGTGTGGCCCCCCGCGGCCTGCCCAAGAAAAGGCGAGGAGGGAGGAGCAGGAGCGGGACGAGACACGGTGGTGGTGCTGCTGCTGAGGATGACCATGTAGGATGAGGAGGAAGACGAGGAGGAGGAAGAAGGAGCCGGAGGGAGAGGAGGGAGGAACAGGAGGGGGATGGAGGAAGAAGAAGGAGCCGGAGGAGGAAGATGAGGAGGAGAGAAGGGAGGAGCAGGAGGGGGACGTGCCACGATGATGGTGGTGCTGCTGAGGATGACCATGGAGGATGAGATGAGGAGGAGGAGGAGGAGGAGGAGGAGGAAGAATGAGGAGCCAGCAGGGAAGGGAGCATTCTTCCCTCCCGCCTCCCCTCGCCCCTCTCCCTCCTCCTGCCGCCGTTCCTCCTTCCAACTCGCCGCCACAAGACCAGGACAGTGCGAGCCCCTCGTTTTCCCCTCCTCCTCTTCCTCCTCCTCCGTCTGCTCCTCCTCTTCCTCTTCCTCCTCCCCTTCTTCTGCTCGCAGCGCTGCGGCGAGTCAGACCAGCGGTGCAAGACTAGCGTGAGACCACGTAATTATTATCCGAACTACTTGTCAAAGACCTGGTGCTGGGACACCATGCAGACGAGCTGTCATAATCAAGCTGTCGAGCGAAGACCTCTGCCTCTTGAGTTAGCGTGCTGGTAGGTGCGGGGTGGGCATATTGGAGTAAGACAATTGAACGACCTGCTGACTTGCTGCTGACATTTTCCGCAGAGTGCTGCTCTCTCCGATCAAACCTTTGATGGCAAGTTGCGCGATGGAATGTGAATACCGTCGCAACTGACAACACACTTCTGCGTAGACTGCGGCTGGCCAAGCGCTGGAGCACTTGCTTGCTGTCATTGTTTCTTTCTGAATCCCTCTCTCTGACCACGTGATATCACATTTCAACTTCCGATGCGGCTGGCCCAAGAAGAAGTGGCTTCCGCCAGAGGCGGGGAGGATGATGACCAGGGTCAGCAGTAGAAGCACGAGGAGGATGAGGAAGATCAACAAGCGCATGAGGACTTTGCTGCTTTTCGTCATTCTGAGCCCCCTGCTCCTTCCCCTTTTCCTCCCCTCCCCCCTCTTGCGTCCTCTTTCCTGTTCGTGTTCATCGCCATCTTCCTTCTCCCTCCCCTCCTCCTGTTTCTCCTCCCCCTCCCCTGTTCTCCAGATTATCGCCTCGACATCCCCCCGGTCCCCTCCCTCTTTCCCATTCCTCCCCTCCCTCCCCCCTCACCCTCCTTCTCCTCCTCCTCCCCCCCCCCTCCCCCTCCCTCCCTCTCCCCCTTTTCCCCCCCCCCCCTCCCCCTCTCACTCCCTCTCCCCCTCTTCCCCTCTCTCGCTCCCTCGAATTTCTCCTTCAGCCGTCCCTCGCTGGCCGCCTCCCCCCCCCCCCGCGCACGAGCTCTGGTCGGCGCTGTCGGGAGGCTCACCCTCGAGGCGTCTCTCGCATCCTCATCCCTCCCTCCGTCCTCCCCCCGCTTCTCCCTCCCTCACCCCCTCCCCCGCCCCTCCGCCTTCCCTCCTCCACCGCTGCCCCCCCCGTGCGCTCCCCCCTCCCCCGATCCCCGAGTACCGCGCTGCCGTCCCTTCCTTCTCACCTGCCCCCTCTCCCCTCCCCTCCTCCCCCCCTCATCTCGGACGTCCGCGCGAATGTCCAGCGTGCAGCACGCTGGCCCATCTCTGTGCGCCGTCGTTTCCCCCCCCCTCCCCTCCCGAGATGCGAACCCTGAGCAGCGGAACGCCGCTTTTTTCTCGGGTCTTCGCGGGGCGGCCGATGCAAACGAGGCGTCTTACCGTGCGCCTGCCCGAAAGCGTGCCACATAACGTGAGGAACGGAGTGGGGAGGGGAGGGCACTAGTCCGTGTGCTCGGTGGTCGAGGGGGGGATAGTTCGCTGCCGCTCCGCTCAAAAGCAGCGGTGAATGGCGATGCACCCACCAGAAATCAATTTCGACATCCTGGCCGTGGCAGGTGGCTGAGGGCGAGCAGAACATCCGCCGCTCCCACCTGTAGGGGCCACCAAGCTGCGAAGGTCAAAATCTACTCTCGAGTTCCACGGTCGAATGAGGCCTCCAATTCAGAGTTCCTCCCAAATATTTGGTTCCTGCCGGGCTCTCACCTGTTCCGTAAAGAGAGCTGCTGCTCGGTGCCCATGGCCAGGCTGCCCAGATCATCTAACTTCGGGCATCGCGCGCCGCGCCCTGCGGTGCGCGGTCGTCTTCGCGCCCTCGCGTCGCCACCCTGCGGCCCAGGCCGCGACGAGCGAAGTGCGACCATCTTCGAGGCCCCTGCTGATGACCTGGGCATGCTTCCCGGCGACGCGGGCGCTGGCTCCACTCGCAGCTTCTCCGCCACCCGTGCCTGCGGCATGTTGAGGCGTGGAAGAATGCCAAGTGCTGCCTGGCAGTTTTTTGTCTTTATATATATATATATATATGTACATATATATATATATATATATATCTTCTAGAAAGGACCCTCCCCCGCCCCCCTGGTCACGGAATGGGGACTGCGCCGCCGCCACTCCCCGGGGTCCCTGGGCGGCCATGGCGCCTCCCTGTGGCTCTGCGAGGCTTCCATCACGGCCCGGGAGACCCCCCAGACGGTCCAGGAGGGCCCCGAGTCGCCGAACGATCGCTCGAAGACGCCCAAGATGGCCTCACCATGGCCCAATAGGCCTCCAAGACGCCCCAAGAGGCAACACGATGGATGTTTCGTAGGTTGTTGAACGGCTTTGGCGTGCCTGCCTCTTCGGCTCTCCGACGCTCCAAGGCGGCCCACGAGGTCCCCCTAGACCATCTTAAAACGGCCCCAGTGGCCTCCAAGAGGGCCCCAAGGCGACCCCCCAAAAAGGGCCCAGGAGATCGAACACGAACCGACACTCCGAGCCTTCTGCCCCAAGGGGACCCAGGCGGCCGCAAGAGGCGCCCAAGAGGCGCCCAAGAGCCCTACAGAGGGCCCCCAAGAGGCCCCACGAGGCCCGCAGACGGCCTCCAAGAGGCCTCAAAACTGCCTCCGAGAGGCGCCCGAGAGGCCTCCCACGAGATCTCCACGAACATCCAATAGGGTTCATACCCGCAACCCAGGCACGGTGGCGGGACTTGCCGCAAGCAGCTGGGCATGCTGAACTATGCTGTGGTCCGCGATGCTATACCAGGCGATGCTATGATGCCGTGCAACTTGGTATGCTTTGGTGAATCTACACGGTGCAAGGTTCACGCCATGATCTGCGATGCGCTGCCAATGCAAGGACCTGCCATTGCCATGATATTCGGACACATTAGCGCCACTGCCACTGCCATGATACACAAAACGCTGGGGCGAGATCTACCTCAACGGTCCTCCGGCCCCGAGCCCACGAGTCCAGAGGGGGAGGCTCGAGGATCGATGATCGTTCTGTCTCTGACTCCGTCACTTTCCTGGTCCCCCTTTGGCCCCAAAAGGTCCTCCAGAGCCCCCGGGCACCTCCAGGAGGGGCCAGCGGCACGAGGCGGCGCCGTGCATGTGGGCGCGGGCCTCCCTTCTCGACGTCGGCGCTGCTCGCCAGGGCGACGGCGGGGAACGCGAGGGCTCAGGGCCCCTCCGGGCCCCCGATCTGGCCACAGTCGGCGCGTGCCCCCGAAACGCGGGCCGCAACGTCTCCGACATGAGCTCGGCCGACCGAACCTGCGGCTGGCGCTCAGTGAGTATGACCTCGGCGGCACGCGCCAAAAGGGTGGGGAAAAGGGGGGCGATCGGCCTCCCGAGAGGGCAGCCGGGAAGGCCGCCGACTGCCCCCTCTTCCAAAAGCGCCGACCCCCCCGCCCCACGCCCACCTCTGCGCGCTGCCGAGCATGCTATCCACCAGCCCCTCGTCCTCGTCATGCTCCTGCTCGTCTAGCGTCGCAGCTGCCTACAAATACCCTTCATCCCCCTCGTACACCTCTACCACCCCCCCCCGCCCCCTGCGGACCTCTTCTCAGGGTCGGCGGAACCGGCCGTGAGGCCTTTGCAATATTGCGGCGGGAGGCCAGAACACACACATGGATATGAGCTTCGAACGTCCGTGAGGCGTTCCGAACAACACATATGGAAAACAACATAAGCACGGTGGGTGTGGGGGTAGGCTGCTCTCTTGAGGGGCGATGACCAGCAGCAAGCGTTGTCCAAACAACGCCGACGCTGGGCGCTGCTGGGCAGGCGAGATTCGTTCAAAATGGTCAACGCCCGCAGCGACACCGACAGCAGAGCCTGTTGCAAACGGGCAGGGACTGCTGTCGGTCCTCGCCCCCGACGTTCTGGTGCTGCCAGACGTACCCTGGCCCAAGGTGCCCCCCAGGATTTTTCCAAAGGAGCCCCCCATGGGCTCGAGAGCACCCCTCACAAAGGCCCAGGGTGCCCCCTGGGGCTCCAAAGTGGTCCCAGAGCAGAGGAAAAAAGTGGAGGAGGAGGAGGAGGAGGAGGAGGAGGAGGAGGAGGAGGAGGAGGAGGAGGAGGAGGAGGAGGAGGATGAGGGGGGGGAGGAGGAGGAGGAGGAGCAGGAGGAGGAGGAGGAGGAGGAAGTGGAGGGCCGTGCGAAGTCCCTGGATCGGCGCAGGGCCCCCCCTCCCCGGCGCCCGGAGCGCGGAGAGCGCGCCTCACGGGAGGCGCCGGAGGCTCCGCAGGAAGGGGCCAGCGCGGATCCGAGAAACCTGCGCGCAGAGCTCCGAAAAAGCGTGAGCGTATGATTATGCCGTTTTGTTTCCCTCTTCGACGACGTCCGTGTGCTGCTCTGGCCTCCGATTCACGCTGCAGCGTCTCGTGCCCCACCACGCCTCTGGCTATACAGTTGTCCAGAGCAATGTTCTCTCCCGGCTGGTGCAGGCGGTCTCTCGCGGCCCCCCCTGTGGTGGCCCGGCGGCCGAGCGCGTGGCATCTGAGCGCGCGCGAGCACGGAGACTGAAGCAGGCCTAGGAGCGCAACGGCTTGAACACCCTGGCTCGTGGTAATGCGGGATGACGGTTAATAAACAAAATGGGGGGGAACGATTAAAAAAACAGTTTTCTGCGATTTCTGCACAATTTTCTGACTAGAGGAGAACGATTAGAAAGAATAGTTTTCCAGCCCGCGGCCGGTTTTTTCTAATCGTCATCCCGGGCGCCGCCGCGCGAACACGACCCCCCGTCATTTATTAATCGTCATCCTCCATTACTGGTGTAGCTACGTTGGGTACCCAACCGCCTCCTGATCCTACGACCTCATCGCCTCGCTCCCTGCTCTCCCTCCGCCTCCCCGAGGTCCCCAGAGGTGGTCGGAGCAGGGCTCGAGCTGGACAATGCTTCTCGTTTTCGTTCTGTCTTCGTTTTCCTTGGTTCCGTCTTCGTCCTGCCTTCGCCGCGGAACAAACGAAACCAAAACGAAAACGGTCTACGAAATCGCCGAAACACCGTTTAGCTCGAGCCCTGGTCTGGAGGCCCTAAGGGGCTGAAAAAGTTCGCTGGCCTATTAGGCTCACTTCTTCCCCTTGCCCTTCTTGCCCTTGCCACCGCCCTTCTTGCCCTTGTCCTTGGAGGGTCAAACAGGACAACTTCCCCAGGCACGAACAGATACTCAAAAAACAAGCCCAGGACGAACATCACATCGGGTGAGGATAAATCGGGAATCTTTCAGATCCGGCGACCCTGGAGGATGTCTCGGGTGCCGCGGCCTTCTCAGAGCGTTCCGGAACGCTCTGAGAGCGTTCTGAAACGCTCTGGAACGGATTAAACCTCGTCCTAACCCCGTCCGAAAACTCTCGTAGGCCCTCGCGGATTTTTTGGCTCGGCGCTGGGCTCAAGAAATTCGCGCGGGCCTCCGAAAGCTCATGGCTATCATGGTAAGTATATCGGGGTCTTCTACGGGGGGTCAACAATAGCAAAACAGTCACGTATCATCTACAGAACACTCATTACTAATTCCTGTCCATTGTATTTCCGGTCATGCCCAATTCCGGCCGCGAATTACAAATGAAACGTGCCGACGCGCATGTCGCACAACCAACACACAACCATGGCCCCACAATCGCGGCCCACGAATTAGAAATGAGCGCTCTGTATGTCCTGACCAACCCCGCTTGGGCTGTGCGTCATGACTTTGGCACTGCTTTAGCGATGACCGAGGCACGTGGCTGACCCCGAAACGCCCACTTCCCTATGCTGGCAGTTTTGCCCCCCCGCGGGTCCTTGCCCTTGCCCTTTCCCTTGCCCCTGTCTTTGCCCTTGCCCTTGTCCTGGGAAGAACAAACAACATCGACATATACTTTTGGAGCTCCGTGCGGATTTCTTTGGTCGGTGCTGGAACTCCCTGGCGGCGCCTCCGGCGCCGCCCCTGCCGCGCTCCGCGCGCTAAGGGAGGGTGTCCACCGCCGAGCCAAGAATTCCGCGCGGAGATCCGACAAGTGATGTCTATGCTTCTTTTCTTCGAGTCCTTGCCCTTGCCGCCGCCCTTGTCGCCCTTGAACTTCTTCTTCGGAGGCTCGTCACTTCCATCGTCACCGGAGCCGTCCTCTTCCTCGTCTTCCTCCTCTTCCTCCTCGTCCTCGTCCTCGTCCTCGGCTGGAGCAGCCTTCTTCTTAGGCGTTTCCTTGGCATCAGCCTTCTCCTTTCCCTTCTTCGGTGCTGGCTCTTCTTCCTCCTCCTCGTCCTCTTCCTCCTCTTCCTCCTCCTCCTCCTCGTCATCACCATCTTCCTCTGCAGGTGCTTTCTTGGCGGCTTCCTTCTTCGCCTCGGGCTTCTTCGCCTCTGGCTTCTTCGCTTCTGGCTTCTTGGGCGCAGCCTCCTCCTCTTCCTCCTCGTCCTCCTCCTCTTCCTCCTCTTCCTCCTCCTCGTCGTCCTCCTCCGCAGCGGGAGCAGCCTTGGCCTTCGCCTCCGCCTTAGCCTTTGCCTCCTTCTTCGCCTCCGGTTTCGCCGCCTCTTTCTTGGCATCCGCTTTCTTCGGCGCGGCCGCAGGCTCCTCCTCCTCTTCCTCCTCCTTGGCGAAGAGGGAGATGCCGGTGCCGCACCGCTGCACCGCCCCCCAAGACCTCTCCCAAAGCGCGCCCCGGCCAGGGTGTCGAGACGAACTCCGGCGTGGAGGCACGCCCCCAGCCCCCCCCTGGCCATCGCTCGGACGTCCATTCCCTGTGTTTTTTTTGGTTTTGTGCTTGGTTTTTTCGCCAAATGATCGAGGATGCTCCTCGATGGTCCTCGCCGAATGAAGAATGCACACGTCCGAGCGATGCCAGGCCCCCCAGGATGGCGCCGAAGAGGGGGCGAGCACGAGGGCCGGGCGCCAGCCGCTGGGCACGGACTGCGGAGCCGTGGCTCCGGCGCTTGGGCACCAGACCCACGGATCGGGGAGAAAGCGCCGCCCGAAGCATGGCGCCGCTGCCGAACGACGTGGTCACGGCGCGCGCCGATGCTGTACGGAAGCGGGGCCCGTGGCCATTCCGCGCGCCCTGTGTCCGCGTCTGCGCTGCTTCGAGGAGAAGATGGGGAGGGGGGGGGGGCTGGCGTCGGCATGGCCTTCCTCCCTTGGCGTCCTCTTCCTCCTCCTCTTCCTCCTCCTCCTCGTCCTCGTCGGCCGCCGCCTTTGCTTTCGCCTCCGCCTTGGCCTTCGCCTCCTTCTTCGCCTCGGGCTTCGCCGCCTCCTTCTTCGCCTCGGGCTTCGCCGCCTCCTTCTTCGCCTCGGCCTTCGCGGGCTTCGCCGCCGCCTTCTCCGCGGCGGGCTCCTCGCACGGCTCCCCCCCACGTCCCCCGAGACCCTTCGGCGCGGGGGCCTCTGTCGGTGCGCCGCCTCCAAGGCGCTCGACGCCCCTTGTCCAGGTCGCCAGACTTCGCACACTGCGCCCCGCGGTGCGCGAGGGCGCGACCATCTTCGCGCCCTCGCGCCTCGTCTTGGAGAAGGGCAGCCGCTCTGGCCCTGACCGCGACGCGCGAGGGCGCGATCACCTTCGCGCCCTGGAGGGCCTCCTCTTGAAGAAGGGCGGCCGATCTTGCCCAGACCGCGACGCTCGAAGCGCCATCATCTGGGCGTCCCAGCGGGTGAGCTAACTCCCCCAGGACCAGGATATTTTTAGGGGCGCGCACAGGGGGGTAGGGGAAGGGGGGACAACTTCTTAGGATATTGCTTATGAGAAGGCGCCGGCCCTGCATCTACAGACGAAGCCCGCGCCTTCTAAGAAGCAGGGGTGCTTCTAAGAAGCCTTTCCCCCCTCCCCTACCCCCCGCTGCGCGTGGCCGCCGTTCTCGGAGGAGAAGGAGGTCGAGAAAGCGGACGACCGTAAACCCTCTCGAGTAAACCGTGCACTCCGTGGCCAACGCGGCAGAGACTGACCAGTGGCAAAACCAACTTCAGCATCCCAGGAGAAACGGATGATCCCGAAGCCCAGACCCCGCACTAGGGGGAAAACAAACCTATCTCGCTTTTGACCACCCTCGCTTCCAAGAGATACCAAACGATGCCAAATTGCAGCCTGTACTGGTCAGGCCGCTTGACGAGGAGGCGCATGGTATGGCTTGGTTTTGCCTGGAAGCGAAAGCGGGGTAGGTAACTCACGCTCTGACGCACCCAGGACCAGGATATCTACAGCGAAGGTAGAAGTAGTCCCGAGGGAAGAAGGTCCTGACGCCGGTCGCCGTACTTGGGCCTCCCGGGGGCCCTTCCTCGGCCCCAGAGGCCGCCAACAGAACGACACACGACGAAATGCCGGTGTTCTTGGAAAGCCCCTGGGGTCCAGGACTTGTTTCCCTCACGAGTGAGAGAGGGGCAACGTTCGGGGGGTGGGGCCATCTCATCAGGGGAGGGAGCATCGAGCCAGGACCGGCGACGCGTGGCCGATAGCCCCTCGATAGCGAGTCCGCACGCTCCTGGGCGGTGGGGGTCGATGCAGTGAGGGTCTTGACCTGAGGAACCCAAAATAAGGAACGAGGCCCCTTTTTTCCATAAGTTAAACTTCGATTTCCGATCGAAAACATAAGGAACACCTGAGGCATGCTGCTCGCCTCGCGGTGAGCAGCGCGCGGCTCTCTTCGCGCCTCCGCGCCACCCCCTGGAGAAGGCCAGCTCACGTTCCCTCCCGAGCCTGCCATCCCCCCCCTCCCCAACGTTGCCCCTGAGTGAGATCTTCCTCTCGTGCCGAATCGTCCGTCGCAGGGCGCTTTCCGACGGCCCTGGGGCCCGGCGGCGAGCTCGAGAGGCCGAGATTTGCGGAGCAGCACGGCCCCGTGCCTTTTGTTGCTCTTCGAGACGCGGGGCCAACCCACCAACCAACCCACAGAGCTTCCGACGATGTGCATCCCACCAACCTTTCGGGCGTAGGTGGCTTCGGGAGTTACGGTCAAGAACTTTTGCTCAGCGCGTCGCGACGGCGGCCCCGACCACACGTTCTGCCTTGCAGGCTGCTGGCATGTCGCCCCGCTCCGCGGGACGGGACGCTCGGCAAAGCTCGGGACGCTGACACACGGGAAGTGGGAAGGGGTCAGCGTGTCGTGCCATGGTATGGTCGGCCAGAGCTGGCGGTGCGACACGCTGAGCAAACGTTCCTGATCGTGGGTGGCCGAGGGAAGTAGTTCTTCCAACCTCCTCTTTCCCTTCGGGCTGAAGTTGGCCTCTCCCCCTACGTACCCTGTCTCCCTGGGACTCGAGGTGGGGGGTTCGCGAGGTCAGATGATCCAAGACGGTCTAAGATGGTTCCAAGACCGCCCCAGATGGCCTCCAAGATCGCCCAAGATACTCCAACATGGTTCAATTCTTACGCGTTGCGAAATTTATTCATCTTGAGCACTGACGATTCGATCGTCTCCGAGCGGGGACCCCCTTCCCCCCGTAGACTCCTGGAACGGCAGCCTTCGGCCTTGTTGGGCGGGAGCGTTCTGGGGTTCTCCCTGGTGTGCAATTAGTAATATATAACCAATTCGGGATACAATCTCTCCCCCACAACAAATTCACACGGGGGAAATCACGCCCGGCCACTTTCACGCAATTCTTAATATCCCCCCGCGTGAAATCACAAATGCGAATCACTCCCGCACTACTTCTCACCACAACGCCCAGACATGTCAATTTCATCCAAGATGAATGAACTTTCGTAAGGGGGATGTATACAGCTTTCAATCTGCCTCCACGAGGCCCCAAGACGGTTCCAAGTTACCACGGAGCTTCCCAATGACCCCCCGAGAGGCCAGAACCCTTCCAACACCTAAAGGAATTCAATGAGTCTAGGCTTCTCGCATTTTCGCTTCCCATCGGCTTTGGAGACCTCAAGATGGTTCCAAGATGGTCCAAGAGAGCCCCACGAGGAGTCCAATGTCGCCCACATGGCTCCGAGATCGCCCAAGAGCGCCGCAAGAGTACCCCAAGAAACAAGTTTTCGGCCTCCAAGCAAGGGGCGCAATTAAGAACCCAATCTTCTTTAAGCGGTAGCCTCCAACATTGCCCCTAAGACCGCCCCCAAGGCCCTCTAGAGGCCCCACGGGAGTCCCAAGGGGGCGCCGAAGGCCTCCAAAATTGACCCAAGAGGGCCCCGACGGCTTCCAAAATGTAAAGAGGACCACAATGACCCAAGAGGCTTCCAAGAGGCTCTCTGAGCGAAAGGTCCGCAAAGGTCTTGGTAGTTGATTCCTCTCGTCGTAATTAGTCGTCGTCGTCGTCATCGTCGTCATCGTCGTCGTCGTCGTCGTCTCGCTATTCCTCCCCCATCCTTTTCATGTTTCTCATGCCCCTCACACCTCCTCATCCTCCTCTCCTCCGTCTCCCTCCCTCCCTCCTCGTCTGTTTCTCCTTCCTCGTTCTCGTTCCAACGGTAACGGCTGCCCCACTTCTGTTCGACTGTGTGCTGCTAGACTTCCCTGATCAGGGGGAATCGCATAGTGTTTTTCCTTGGATGGGCTGGTGGGACTACTCGAATCGTAAAAAATCTGCCAATCTGAGGGCTTCAGAGGCCTCGACAAAGGCACTATTCGTCTAGGGTCCATTTTCGGTGGTCCTGGGTAAAGGACAAAACGAGCATACACGTAAACTTTCTGAACTCCGAAAAGATTTCCTGAATCGGCGCTGGACCCCCTCCCCTGGCGCGCCGCGCCCTCAGGGGCGCCCAGCGCCGATCGGGGAACTCCGCGAGAGCTCCGAAAATCTATGACTACACCTCGTCAGCGCGCCGTGGGGAGCATGCAGGGGATGGGGGGAAGGGTTCTTCGAAGGACGCCGCTTCTCAAGGGTGCCGGCCCTGGATCTACAGGCAGGGCCCGCGCCTTCCAAGAAGCCAGGGTGCTCCTGCGAAGCCTTCCCCCCTCCTCCTGCCCCCCTTTTGCGCGTGGCCGGATACCATTTTTCCTACGCGAGGCCCCGCGGTAGAAGCAAAGGTCAAGGGAGGTCCGGCCTCCTCGTCGTCCATCTCGTCCGACTCGTAGTAGCCGGTGAGGTGCACCGTGGCCTTGCCCTTGACGAGCAGCTTGGCCTCCGCCGAGTCGATGAAGAGGTCCTCGGCTTTCTCCCCAGGCCCAGGGCAGAGCTGCTGCCTGCTCCTGGGTTCCTCCCTCCTTCTGCCTCCGCCTCCGCCTCCTCCTCGTCCTCCTCCTCCTCCTCCTCCCTCCTCCTCCCTCCTCCTCCTCCCTCCTCCTACCTACTCCTCCCTCCTCCCTCCTCCTACCTACTCCTCCCTCCTCTCTCCTCCCTCCTCCTCCTCCTCTTCCTCTTATTCCTCCTCTCCTCCCTCTCCCCTCCTCCTCTCCTCCTCCCCTCCTCTCCTCCTCCCTCCCTCCCCTCCTCCTCCCCTCCTCCCTCCTCCTCTCCTCCTCCTCCTCCTCTTCCTCCTCTTCCTCCTCTTTCCTCCTCCCTCCTCCTCCCTTTCTCCTCCTCCTCCTCCTCCTCCTCCTCCTGCTCCTCACTCCCCCTCCCCCTCCCTCTTCCCTGACCTCCTCTCCTCTCCTCTCCCCTCCCCTCCCCTCCCCCCTCCTCCTTCATCTCCTCTTCCTCCTCCTCATCTGCTTCCTTCTCCCCCTCCAGCCTTTTCTTATCTGCTGACCCCCGCTTGCCCGGGGTGCAAAGGCGTGTGAGATGATTGGCTGTCCCCCTCCCCCTTTCCCACTCCCCTGGGTCTGAAATCCGATTAGAGGGGGAGGGGCCAGGGAAGGGGGGGTCCCCGAGATCATGAATGCACGCTCCCCCGGGGCCTCCGGAGCCTCCAGTTGTAAACTCTGTGCATGTTAGTTCTCACCAGCGTCCAGGGCGGCTCCAGAGGCCCCCATGATCGCTCCAAGACGGACCAATAAGCCCCAAGAAACCCCAAGAGGGCCCCAAGACGGCACGGCCTGAGTGGCGCCCGAGATGGCCCAAGAGAGCCCCAACAAGGCCCCAAGAGGGTGACTTTCCGAGACCTCCGCCCCAAGGGCCCCCGAGACCGCCAGCAGGCGCCCAAGGAACTCCCAAGATGCCCGACGAGACCCCCACGAGACCAAAAAGAGGCCCCCTGAAGGGCTCCCGAGAGGCCCCACCGACCTCACCCGTTGACTTTATTTCTTCTGGGGGTCGGCGACATGGCGTGAGCGAGTTTCTGAGAGCGTGGGCTTGAGCTCGCTCAAGCTTCGCTCTGGGGGGGGGTCGGGATCCGGCGAATTATCCACGCAATTCAGTGAACGCTCCAGCGCGGGGGGGGGTCCAAGAATCGACGACGGGGGGAGGGGGTGAGTGGAAGCCGATGGACGGGGGGAGGGGGCGCAGAGCAGGACGGGGCGAGGGGGTCGAGCTCAAGCGGGGGGCGGGGGGGCAAGTCGGAAGCTGCGCGCGGGGACGGAGGGGGGGGTCGGGGGCGGGGGGGGGTCGAGGGGGGGTCCAAGAATCAGGGGGGCGGGGGGGGTGCGCGGGGGGGGGCGGGAAGGGGCGAGGAGGAGGGTCGAGCTCAAGCGTGGGGAGGGGGGGGGGTCAGCGCGGTGAAGGGGGGGGTCCAAGAATCGAGGGAGGGGGGGGAGCCCTCGAGCGAGGACGGGGGGGGATCGAACACCGGAAGGGGGGGTGGGGGTCGAGCTCAGCGGGGGTGGATGTGGGGGGTTCAGCCGGTGGGGGGGAGTCAGGGGGGTCCAAAGTAAAAAAAATCGAATTGGTGTGTCAGGTGGGTCGCTTCGAAAGCAAAGGGGACGAGGGGGGGGCCGAAAAGCCAAGCGGGGGGGGGTGGTCAGCGATGGCCGGGGCGCGGGGGGTGGGGGCGGCGGGGTTGGTGGGGGGGGGGGTCAATGACATCACACTTTGATGTGGGGGGGGGCTGAGCAGGCTGTAGCGGAGAGCGACCCACCAACGGCACGATAAGCGAGCGAGGACGGGGTTGGGGGGGGGGGGGGTCGATAGGAGTGGGTGGTCGAGCTCAGCGGGGGGGGGTCGAGCTCAAGCGGGGGGGGGGGCACGGAGGAAGCTCGAGCGGGGACGGAGGGGGGGGTCGAGCTCAAGCGGGGGGAGGGGGGGTTCAAGAAACCGGGGAGGGCAGCGGGGGGAGGAAGGACGTCGTCGTCATCATCGTCCGTCGTTGACCCGGTCGTCGGTCGTCGTCGTCGTCATCGTCCGTTCCCACACGCATCGGGAGCGCCCCGGATCGGCGGCACTGGCCGGAGGCCATTACAATATAATAAGTCCTTCCTGCCGCCCCCCAAATACGTGCTGGTAGGGAGGGCTGGGCGTTTTGCTTGAGGCTTCCCTCTCGCCTTAGCGCCGCGCACATGCGTCTTAAACATTTGTAGCCGTTTCGAGGATGGAAGGATGGAAGGCTGCTCATTTTCAAAATGTGGCTCTCGCCTTGGCGCCGCTTTCACTTGTACTAAAGCCTTGCAGCACATTCAAGATGGAAGGCAGGCCGCTTGCAAAATGTGGGTCTCGCCTACGAGCAGCGTGCATTAGTCTCAACAGTGTCCAGCAATTTCAAGGATGGAGGGTGGGCCGTTTTCAAAATGTTGCTCTCGCGTTAGCGCCGCGCACAGTTGCCCAACACACATCGCTTTCAAGGATTGAGGGCGGTTCCTTTTCACCCTGTGGCACTCGCCTTAGCGCCGCGCGCATTTTCTTGCAACTTTCAACACTTTGAACGGTTCGAATGATTGAAATTCCAAGAACAGTGTTCGGGAACGGTTTATGATTGTCAGGACGCAACAGTAACATTGATTCGCGGCGTTGAAGTCACAGAAGTTGTGTTCTGGCACGATTTAGGGTTGGCAGGGCGCAGCAGTCACGTTGATTCGCGGCGCAGAAGTCTCAAGAATTATGCTTTGACGCGACTGGGAATTCTAAAACGGTTGCCTTCCACAGAAGCACTTCCCGCAATGAATCTCAATTCTTGTAGGGACCTGTTAAGAGGGAACTTTGAGGGAGGGTTCATTACAACATCGTTGATGCGTCTTGGACTTGCACTGGTCCTCCTCCTTCTCCTCCTCCTCCTCCGTCTCTCCTTATATTAGCTCCTTCACCTTCTGCTGCTGCTACTCCTCCTCCTCCTCCCCCGTATTCTCCTCATCATCCTCTCCCTCCTTCTCCTGCTGCTCCTCCTCCACCTTTCTGTGGGGAGATCTTAAACTCTCGATCCCTGATCCCAGAGGCTTCAGAGACCCTCTCCTCTAGCAACACACTCGTTTCGCGGCTTGGGCTCCTGAGGACTGGACCTCTTCCCGGGGATCGGTTATCCAGCCCGAGCTTTTGACGTTCCAACGTACTTTAGCCTTGACCACCAGAAAGAATTTCGAGCACCAAGTGAATACTGAAACTGGAGGGTTTTCACGCATCGGGCCCTGGGAGGCGATACTCGCTCGACACTGTTTCGACTCCTTTTTTGGGTGCTCGAAACTGTTTCTGGGACGTGGTCCTGAAGTGCGATGGGAGCAAGAGAACCTAAGGATGGGACACGGCCCCCCGAGGCCGAAGACGTGGGGAAACTGGCCGTGGCGATTCTCCTGCAACGCCCGGATCTGATGGGGAAGGACCAGACACGTCCAACCCCATAGTCCCTCGTTTCTTCCGATGCATTTGTTTAATTGTATCAACTGTTACTCACAATTTGTACGTGTTCTTGGGATACGAAACGAGCCCACGCCTCTCCAACGGGCCTGGGCGCCCAGCCCCCCGCCCTCCCCGGCTCCTCCAGCACCTCCTCCGTCCTGCGTCCCCCCCTTCCCCACGCAACCTCGTCCTGCACCTCTAGACAAGCGCGCTCCACTACTCGCAGAGTCACTGCTCGCAAGTGGCCTGGATCCGCCGCCGGGGATGTACGATCTATTCCATACAAGTTTTTTGTTGTTGGAAGCTTGCGAGTAGGCACCTTGCGAGTAGCGGAACGCGCTCGGTGAATCTTGCCGCCATCCGCGGCCATGGCGCCAGACCAATTTTAGGTCTCGTGTCCACCGATCGGACGCCAAACAATTCTGGGCTACCTGCGGTCGGGGGCAACTCCTGACTGCCCCCAGCCCCGATGATTCGGGAAGGTTGGACGCCCGAGTTATCCAGGACAACTGCGGTCCAGGGTAACTCCGGTTTGGGCCCCCGAGGCGCGAATCTGTGTCTACCCCTGGCCACGCCCCGCCCTGATGATTCGGAGCTCTGAACCGGGGCCAGGCGGGTCGGCTGGCGGTCCGCCTTGCCCAAAAGCTACTTCTCAACGCCAGGGCGGTGAGTGACAGGTCACCCGGGCGCCAGCGGCATGGGCTCTCGTCAACCTGTCCCCCCCGCGGCAGGCCACTCTCCCACTTCCCCACTCCCCTGGCCTCCGCCCACGCCTTCTCTTTCCCCCCGCGTAACACGATAGGGATCTTCAATGAAGTTCCAGGTCGGCTATGACACGCGTCCGCGGGAATGTATAGAAAATATTAGCGCCATGTCCGATGCGGCGCGAGCGCACCTGGCTTGTCTCTCCCCCCTCGCCCCCCCACCTCCCAGATTGAGTCTGAGTTTTTTCTCGGTCACGATCGGTAGCGACCGATCGGCACTCCAAATCGGTCTCGGTCGCCCGATGCGACAATGCCGCTCGGGGAGCGAGGCTGCGAAGCTCGAGGAGCATCGGGGCTCCGTGCGCATCGAGGCGGAGGCTCGGGGAGGCTCGCTGCTGGAGTCTCGAGGCGCATCGAGGAGGATCGAGGCGGATCTCCTCCTCCTCCTCCTCCTCCGCCTCCTCCTCCTCCTCCTCCTCCCCCTCCTCCTCCTCCTCCTCCTCCTCCTCCTCCTCCTCCTCCTTCTCCTCCTCCTCCTCCTCCTCCTCCTCCTCGCGGAGGCTCGGAGCCCCCCCCTCCCCGAGGCGCGGGTCCAGCGGGCAGAACTCCTGCCCGCCCTCCCGCAGGCACGCGAGCGCGTAGCTCTTCCCCCCCTGCTCCACCAGCACCGTGCCGGAGGCGCCCGCCGGCCTCGGAGGCCGGCGGTCGGCGGCCGCCGCCGCCGACCGAGGATCGATCGCGGCTCGGGGATCGATCGATCGAGGATCGATCGATCGATCGGGGATCGATCCAATCGCGACGGGCGCCTCCGTTGCTGTTCTCGGCGTCCAGGGGCCCTCGCACGGCCCAGAGGCCGTCAACGGTCTCAGGGCCGTCAACGAGAACAGGCCCAGCACGCGGGAGGCTAGCCCCGGGGAGTGGGCCGAGGCCTCGGGGGGGGGGGGCCCACGCTGTGACAAAGTCATGGCGTCGGGAGTCTGGATTCTTGGGCCTCGCTGTTCCTCGGGAGACGCTCTCGTGGTCACGGCTGGAATCGCGTCAAGATTGTGGCCAGAGTGCACCTCGGTGGTGGAGGCGGACGCGGCGGAGGAAGGGGGGAGGATGTGGAGGAGGAGGAGGAAGAGGAGCACGGGGAGGAGGAGGAGGAAACGAAAAGGAGGATGAGGATGAGGAGGAGGACCAGTGGAAACCCAAGAGTCATCAACGATGTTGGAATTAACCCTGCCTCCAAGCTCCCTCTTCATAGGCCCCTACAGCGGTTCATTTCCATTGAGGGAACTTCCTCGTTGGAAGACAACAGTTTGAAGATCCTGAAGCGTGCCAAAACATTGCTCTCGGGATTTCAACGCCACGTATTAACCTGACTGCTGCGTCTTGACGATCCTGAACCGTGCCAGGACGTCATTTTTGGGACAATCAACATACATGTTGTGCTCGCATCATCCTGAATCCTTCAAACACAACGTTTTTGGTGCGCTGATAATGTGCGCGGCGCTAAAACGAGAACCACAATTTGAAAACCACCCGCCATCAATCCGTGAAGCTCTTGCGATTTGTTTTAACGAGTGTGCGCGGCACTAAGGCGAGAATCACGTTTCGAAAACCACCCGCCCTCAATCCGTGATGTTCTCGTCTTGTAATCTTTAAATCGAATGTGCGCGGCGCTAAGACGAGAACCATATCTTGAAAACCACCTGCCCTCAATCCATGATGTTCTTGTCTTGCAATCTTGAAGACGAATGTGCGCGGCGCTAAGGCGAGAACCACATTTTGAGACCCACCCGCCATCAATCCGTGATGTTCTTGCAATCTTGAAAGCGAATGTGTGCGGCGCTAAGGCGAGAACCACATTTTGAAAACCACCCGCCGTCAATCCGTGAAGCTCTTGCACATTTTTAAGACGAGTGTGTGCGGCGCGAAGACGATAAACACATGTTGACAACGACCCGCCCTCAACCCGTGAAGCCCTTGCAACTGTTTAAAACGAATGTGCGCGGCGCTGAGGCGAAAACCACAATTTGAACACCACCCGTCCTCAATCCGTAAAACTCTAGCATTTTTTAAGCGAATGTGCCCGGCGCTAAAGCGAGAGCTACATGTTGAAAATGGCACGCCCTCCATCAGTGAAACAGTTGCCATGTTTTAAACTTCAGAACCAGAAGTGGTGAGGAAGTCTTCGGCGAAACGCCAGGCTCGCCCTAAAAGCTGGCCTCGGGGTGCGACAGGGAGGAGTTACCTATAAGGGGAAGGAATGCAGGAGGGGGAGGAGGAGGAGGAGGAGGAGGAGAAGGAGCGGAGAGGAGGAGGAGGAGGAGGCGGAAGGCGAGGAGAGGGAGGAGGAGGGGGAGGGGGAGGAGGGAGGAGGAGGAGGAGGGGAGAGGGGAGAAAGGAAGAGGAGGAGGGGAGAGAGGAGGAGGAGGAGGAGGAGGAGGAGGAGGAGAGGAGGAGGAGGGGAGGAGGATAGGAGTGAGGAGGAGGAGGAGGAGGGGGGGAGGAGGAGGAGGAGGAGGAGGAGGAGGAGGAGGAGGAGGAGGAGGAAGGAGGAGAAGGAGGAGAAGAAGGAGAGGGGGGAGGAGGAGGAGGTAGGAGGAGGAGGAGGAGGAGGAGGAGGAGGGGAGGAGGAGGGGAGGAGGAGGAGGAGGAGAGGAGGAGAGGAGGAGGGAGAAGAGAGGAGGAGGAGGAGGAGGAGGGAGGAGGAGGAGGAGGAGAGGAGGAGGAGGGAGGAGGAGGAGGAGGAGGAGGAGGAGGAGGAGGAGAAACGAACAGGAGGAGGAGGAGGAGGAAACGAAAGAAGGAGAAGAGGAGTAGAAGAAGGAGGAGGGGAGGAGGAGGAGGAGGAGGAGGAGGAGCACGGGGAGGAGGAGGAGGAACCGAAAAGGAGGAGGAGGAGGGGGAGGAGGAGGAACGCACGTAGCCTGAAACGGTAATCAGGCAGGAGGAGGAGGAAGGAGGAGGAGGAAGGAGAGGAGGAGGAGGAGGAGGAGGAGGAGGAGGAGGAGGAGGAGGAGGAATAGGAGCGGAGGGGCAAGAGGAGCAGGAAGAGGAGAGGGTAATGAGGACAAAGAGATGATTCATATCCGCCCGCTCCTCCAGCTCCTATTCTCTTCTTTTCTCCTCCTCCTCCCTCATCCCCCTCCTCCTCCTCCTCCTCCCCCCTCCGCTTCCAGCGCGTACTCCTCTGCCGATCTCTCCTCTCCACGACGTTCTCTGCCTTCTCCTTCCTTCCACGCGCCAACATGACATTTGACGAAATTCATTTGCTGCTGCGGCGGCTGCTGCTGTTCCTGCGGTTCCCCCTCATCCTCCCTTTTCCTCCTCCTCCTCCTCCTCTTTCTCCTTCTTCTCCTCCTCCTCCTCCTCCTCCATCCTCTCCTCCTGCCCCTCCTCCTCCTCCTCCTCCTCCTCCTCCTCCTCCCCCTCCTCCTCCCCCCCTTCTCCTCCATTTCCTTCCCTACCCTCCGTTTCCCTTCCCTGTCCTCCCATCCCCTCCTCTCCCCTTCCCTTTCCACCTGCGCGTCCTGTTGCTCCTCCTCCACCCCGACTCGTTTTCCTTGTGTCTGAATCCTCCCTGTCGCGCCCCGACGCGTGTCGGGAGGGCGTGCCGGGCGCTTCGCCGCAACACTTATGATCTGAAGCTTGAAACGTGCAGCAGCTTCGCGGGTGGAGGGCGGGCCGCTTTCAAAATCCGGCTCAAGCCCCAGCGCCGCGCACGTCTTGAACGAATGCATAAGTTTCACTGAGGGAGGGCGGCCCACTTTCAAAATGTCTCTCGCCGCAGCGCCGCGTACATTCGTTTCAACAAATTACAGAATTATCGAAGGTGGGAGTCGGGTGTTCAACATGTGGCTGTCGCCTTGGTGCAGCGCGCATTCGTGTTGAACGAATTTAAGAGTTTCACGGATGGAAGGCGGGTTGTTTTCAAACTGTGGTTCTCCCCTGGGCACCGAACGCAATCGTTTTTGACGATTTGCTACAATTTCGCGGATGGAGGGCGGCTCCTTTTCAAAACGTGACCCTCGCCTTGGCGCCGCGCGCATTTGCATTCAGCGCTTACAGCAGCTTCAAGGTTTCTCACTGTTAACGTCGCATCTGCGGTGTTTGGGCACGATGTTGGGCTGTCAGGGCGCAGCAATTACGTTGTTTCGCGGCGCGAGCGTCCCAGGAACAGCGTTTTGGTACAATTCAGGGTCGTCAAGACGCAACAATAGTGTAGCGGTGATTCGTGGCGTTGAAGTCCCAGGAATTGTGTTTTGGCACGGTTCAGGATTTCCAAGCGGTTGTTGTGGAAGGGTGGTTTATTGCAGCATCGGCGGTGAACCCTGGGTTTGCACTGGTGCGGTCTGTCACACGCGCCCGCTCTCCTGGACGTCGAGCAGCACTGCGACGAGCCTGTAGCCGACTTCCACAGCGTATCGACAACCTGGCAACGGCGGCGGCCCTGCCTAGCCAGCCAGCTCGGCCGCCACCGCGGCGCGGGCCGCCAACTCGCGCTGTTGGTCGAACGCGCTGCGGAATTGCCGCGGTGTGGCGCGGTGCAACGCGCAGCTCAGTTCCGCGCCCCAGCGGCGCGCCAGCGCCTTTGCGGCCGCCCCGGCCTTGGTGCCGTCACCAAGGCCTTGCGCGTGGTCCCGCGCGAGCCAACGCAGGTGGCGCAGCTCCGCCCTGCCCAACCAGCCGGCCGTCTCGGGGGCCAGTGGGCGCCCGGCGCTCAGGCTAGCGGCGGCGCTTGCCCCTCTCTTCCTCCCATCCTGCTCCCTCCATTCCTCCTCTCCTCCCTTCCTCCTCCCTCCCTTCCTTCTGCTGGTGCCTCTCTGGCTCTCCAAGTGGCCCCCTCCTTCCCTCAACACCCGCGTAGCCATTTACCTAACAGCTCTTGCTGATAGGTTTCTAGTGGACTCAAAAGAGAGCATCATGACTCCTCAGGGGGGTCTCGGCGGGACCCAGGGAGGCTGCCGCCGAAGCCGAAATCGCTTCGGACATCCTTGCAAAATCGCTCTTGGTGCTCCCAGAACTCCATTCCCGGGCCACATTTTGGATGCCCGGAACCAGCTGTAGGCCACTTCGTGCTCTTCGACTTCCCAGAACTCCATTCCCGGGCCACATTTTGGATGCCCGGAGCCAACTGTAAGCCACTTCGTGCTCTTCGATTTCCCAGAACTCCATTCCCGGGCCACATTTTGGATGCCCGGAGCCAACTGTAGGCCACTTCGTGCTCTTCAAGTTCCCAGAACTCCATTCCTGGGCATGATTTTGAATGCCCGGAGCCAACTGTAGGCCACTTCGTGTTCTTCTAGTTCCCAGAACTCCATTCCTGGGCCACATTTTGAATGCTGAGGCAGGCTGATGCTGCGGCCGAGGCAGGCTGAGGCTGAGGCAGGCTGAGGCTGAGGCCGAGGCTGAAGGCAGACTGAGGCTGAGGCTGAAGCAGACTGAGGCTGAGGCTGAGGCAGGCTGAGGCTGAGGCTGAAGCAGGCTGATGCTGAGGCAGGCTGAGGCTGAGGCTGAGGCTGATGCAGGCTGAGGCTGAGGCAGGCTGAGGCTGAGGCCGAGGCTGAAGGCAGACTGAGGCTGAGGCTGAAGCAGGCTGAGGCTGAGGCTGAGGCAGGCTGAGGCTGAGGCAGGCTGAGGCTGAGGCAGGCTGAGGCTGAGGCTGTGACTGCGACTGCCGTTGCCGCTGCGACTGTCATCGCGAATGCGACTACGACTGCGAGAACAGCAGAATTCTACAACTGGATTTTCATCTGAATCTTAAGGGGAATGCTTTCAGATATGCTTCTACACATCGCTGTTAGGTTGCTTTGCCGGGATAATTTTGCTCAAGCTGTCTGGTCAGGCGCGGCGCGATCGTGCGCCTCCTCCCCTTTGCACCCGAGGATTCGTCGGCATCGCCATGGAGGGGGATCGCGCCGCCATCGAGGCGAGCCTCTTCCAGGCGTCAGTCCGGCAGCAGCCGCCGCCCAGCGGCTCAGATGACAACAAGTTGATTATGGAGATCGTCGAGGCCACGTGCGGGCCCGGAGAGATCGCCAATGAGGCAGAACACATGTTCTTGGCAGCAAGTCTGGCCTCCTTCGGCGAGTTGCGAACGTTAGCAGAGTTCACCTCCTTCGGCGAAATTATCGGTGTGCTGTCGGCTCACTGGAGGCCGAGCTCGGGTCTCCAGGAGGACGCCGCCGCGCCGCCCCTCCTCCCTCCGTCGCTTGGCCGCCTGACTGGATCGCCTCCGCCCTCCTCCCTCGCTCCCGCTCCCCCCCCCGCTCTCCTCGCCCCTCCCTCGTCGGCAGCACCATCAAGGCGATCGCCCGAGCGGCGCTGGGACACCCGCGTGGCCGGGTCCAGGCAGGCCTGCGACAAGTGGAGCAGCTCCCCCGCCCGCGTCTCCACCTTCTTGGGCGCGCCGGGCGCCACGACGCAGCCCCAGAAGGACATGGCTCGCGGGGTCCCGAAGATCTCGGGGGACGCCAACGATTCCCCTCCTCCTCTTCCTCCTCCTCCTCCTCCTCCTCCTCCTCATTCCTTTTCCTTATTCGCCACCGTGCCCTTGAGGCACGAGTTGGAGTGTCCTCGGGTCCCTTGCTCGATCCCTTGGAGCCCCAGTCCTCAATCCTGAGGATTCTCTAAAAGGGCCTGGGCCCGATATTGCCCCAAATCTTCTGGGGCTTCCCGCTGCTTCTCGCGTGACTTTTCTGGAGCCGAGAAGGCTGGAAGACGGGCCAAGAGGCCTCTCAAGACGGTCCAAGAGAGGGCGAGTCGCCGAACGTCGGTCCAAGACTCCCAAGATGGCCCCATGACGGCCCGAGAAGCCTTCGAAGCGTCCCCAAAGAACCCCAAGAGCCGTCTTAAGAGGGGCCCGAGAGGCCAACTTTTTGTCTTGAGGAAATGTTATGTTTGGGGCGTGCTCGCCTTTCCGAACTTCTGACGCTCCAATACGTCCCGAGAGGGCCCGAAGACAGCCCCAAGAGCGGCCCAAGAGGGCGAGCACGAATCGAACATCCGAGACTTCCGCCCCAAGAGGCGCCCAGGAGGCCCGAAGAGTCCCCTTGTGGCCCCCAAGAAACCCAAAAGAGCCCCAAGAGGCCCCAACACAGCCTCCAGGCACTTCAAAACTGCCTCCAGGAGGCCCCCGAGAAGCCTGCCATGACATCCCCCACGGACATCCAACAGGCCTCTCACCCACAACCCAGGCACGGTGGTGGGGTGGGCCGAAGGCCATTCGACCTGCTTGGCACAGGTGGGAAGGAAAGCGCTCGCAGTCTGTGAGGGCGCGAGATCGATCACTCAGCGTCTTGGAGCCAAGTGGTACGTCATACAAATGACTAGCAACCAACCTTGCGAAAATCAATGACTGTGGCCTCTCTGAGCCGTCTTGGGGGTCCTTTTGATTTTTCCTTTGGGTCGTCTTGGGCCCTCTTGTGTCGTCCTGGGGCCCTCTTGGGCCGTCTTGGGGGGCTTGGGCCGTCTCGGGGCCCTTCTGGGGCCCTCTTAGGGACCTCCTGAAGCCCTCTTTGGGCTCTCTTGGGAACCTTTTGGGACCCTTAGGGAGCCCAAATCATTGATTTTCTGCCAAGCTTCGGATGATTCTCGCAATCGCTTCGAAACGGCATTCCGACGGCCCAAAGATCGTACAAGAGGCCTCCAAGATGGCCCCACGACGCCCACGAGGCTCCCAAGACGGCCTGCGACCCTGAAGCGCCGCAAGCGGGCCCCGAGACGGCCCAGAGAGGCTTCCAAGACGGCTTCCGACGGCGTGAGACGGGCCAGGAACGCCGTAGGACAGCCAAAGAGGCCCCCAAAAAGTCTTCAAATGACCTCAAGAGACCCAAGGAGGCCCCCAAGAGGACTCCAAGAGGCCCCCAGCGAGCTCCCTGGAGGCGAACGACCCAATAGGCTCCCAAGATGTCTCCTTTCCTCCTCCTCCTCCTCCTCCTCCTGCTCCTCCTCTTCATGTTTTCCTTCAGCTCCTCATCCTCTCTTCCCACCCCACGTGTTCCCCGCACTGTTTCCACGGCGGCTGGGGGAACGCATGATCCGATGGCGTGGCCGAACTTCGTCCAAACGTTTGGCCGCGTACGGGGCGGGACTCCTCCCCGTCGCACCCCCAGGCGTGTTGGTGGGCGTTTCGCGGGAGACTTCCCCACCGTTTATGATCCTGGCGCTTTGCAGCACTTCCACGGCTAGAGGGCGGGCCGTCCCCAGGATGTGGCTCTGGCCGTAGCGCCGCGCACATTCGCCGCCGCGGCAGCGATGCAGCAGTTTCACGGAGGGAGGGCGGGTGGTTTGCGAAACGCGGCTCTCGCCGCAGCGCCGCGCACATTCGTCTTGCACATTCGCAGAGCTTGCAACAGTTTCAAGGATTCGTATGGATTCGGGGTGTTGCAGTCCCAAGAGTGGGTTTTGGCATGCTTAAGATCTGTCAGGACGCAACAGATCACGTTGATTCGGGGCACTGAAACCCCCAAATGGTGTTTTGGCACGATCATGGATTCTCAAACGGTTGCCTTCCAACGGGGCACTTTCCGCGATGAAGATACATTCTCGCAGGGACCTGTGAAAACGGAGCTTGGATGAAGGGTGTGTAAATTGCAACATAGTTTATGCGTCTTGGGTTTAACTACTCTGGTCCCCCTCCTCGTCCTCCTTCTCGACCCTGGGGGAATCGACGACAAACAACTTTTATGCGCCTTTGGGCGTTCTCTCTGGGGCGGCGGGCTCTGGGGGCCTCCGGAGGCCTCCAGGCAAGAGCTTCCGGGGACCTCTGGGGGGTCAGGACCCAAGGCGGGGGTAAAAACCACCGCTGGCGGGCCAGTGGCGCCCCCCGGCACGGAGGCGGCGCGCCTGGGGCTATCCGGCCGTGCCGTGAGGACTTGAGCCAAACTGGCTGCGGGCCGCCAGGCGCTGCGCGGGGGCTCGCGCCGCCGCCCGCCCGCCCTGCTCCTCGGCTCCGGCGTGCACCTGCACGGGGCGCAGGGCCGGCCCGGTCTGGCCAGGGCGGGCGCAGGCGTGCCGCAGGCCGGCGGGCCGCTGCTCTTGCCCCTGCGGCGGGCGCCGCCGGCGCTCTCCAGGCCTCCAACACGGCGTGCACGCAACGCTATACATTTTTCCGCTCGCGACCGGCGAAGTCTGTCGCGACGGATTTTGCGTCGAACTGCGGTACCGGCCGCGACCGACCTGCTTCCAAATGGGTCGCGGCTGGTCGGTCGCGACCCAATCGGTCGCGGTCGGTCGCCACTGGTCGCGACCGATTCTGGAGTCGGTGGCGACCAGTCGCGACCGATTTGGAGTGCCAGGGCTATTTTCAGCCCCAGCGGGCCCTCGCTGGGCCCCGGGACAATCGAACATGGTTCTGGGGCTGGAAACTGGTCCCAGGGAATGGGTCAAGGCCTCGGGTGGTCGACGTTTTGAACTAACCACGATGGCGGGGGTCTGGCGCGACGCGCGCGTGCGGTGGCGGGGCGGCGGCGGCGGCGGCGATTTCAACACTTGTAGTGTGGAAACAGCACGTTGAAGACGTTCGAAGCAACTCGCTGAAACATATGCGAACTGGCATGCCGAACCATGGGGGCCGCGAGGTACAAAGGGGAAACACGCGCGGAATACGCAGGGCAGGGGCCGAACCATGACGGGGAGTTGCACGCGTGAGGCGGGCGCGCGTGAGGCACACATGAACGGCACGTTGCGCGTAACACGCTGCGGAAACAAGTCGCAACCTATATACGCGACCGGCATTCCTACCAGGGTCCAACAGGCGCGCGCCCCGCTCAGCGAACCCTTCCTCCACCTTCGCATCCCTAGGACGGTTTTGATGTCATGATGCGACTGACTCAGGACGCGCTCCACGAAGCCTGGAGTCTCTAGTGGCCGTCGTTTCTGGATCCCGTGCGGAACAAACGAGACATCTTTTGAGGACATAAGCCATGAACTTTCGACGGTCCGCCAGATTTCTTGGATCGGCGCTGGGCCCCCCTCCCTGGCGCGCGGAGCGCGCCAGCGGCGGCGCCACCAGACGCGCTGCCAGGGGGGCCCAGCGCCGATCCAAAAACTCTGCGCGGACATCCGCAAGTGTCGGAGGTTGGGGGGTGAGATCGCAGTGGCACGGAGGGCCCCCCATTGGGAGCTCGGTCGCGGCTTCGTGTTCGTGCCGTGCGTGCAGGCGAGGCGAAGCTGCGTGGGCGCGCGAGAGGAATGACCCCGCCGTAGCTAGAGCGATTCAGATGCAGTGGACCACCCCTCTGCCCCCCGTTGGGCGCGCGGTGGCCCGTGGTGTCCTGTGGTGTTCTGTGGTGTCCCGTTGGTGTCCCATTGGTGTCCCGTCAGTGTTCCGTCGGCGGTGGGCGGGCGGTGGCCAGGGGTGCCACGCATTGGTACTGATAGTGAAGTCGAATGTGATATCGATAGAGGGGATGGATCGTGAGATCGAAAGTGATATCGACAGTGAGGTTGATTGTGACATTAGTTACAACAGTTGTGAGATCGATCGGTAGATCGATAGTGAGATCGATCGAGGAATCGATTGTGAGATCTATAGTGAAATCGAAAACGAGGTCTACAGTGAGATCTACAGTGATATCGATCGTGATATGGATCGAGTGTGATCGATCCTGTGAGGCCGATAGTGGGATCGATCGAGTGATATCGAAAGCGGGGCGATAGTGACATTACATCGCAGCGCAACATCGCCATAACGCGTCGTCGCTAACTCGAGGGCGCGTCACTAGCATCGTCATCATCATCATCATCATCATCATCATCATCATCATCATCATCATCATCACACCCGTTGCAATTGCCAGCAATTCTTTTTTTCCCCTCCAACCTCCTTATCGCCCAAAGGGTGGTGGTACAGGTATGTTTATGCATTTTCTGCTTCGGATATGGCAGATTCGGGCATTCCTGGAAATCCTGGCACGCGGAACGTATCGTCATCGTGACTTCTTGCTCGTCTTTCTCCTCGATGTTCCTCGGCGAGAAGACGTGCACGCGTCCGTCGGCTACACGTAAGAGTGACCCTAGATAAGAGTGACCTTTGGTGCGCGGCTTTTGGGGGGCCGCGGAGAGGCCAAATCCAGGCGCGCTAGCCGCTACTACCGCTTCGCGTTCGGCCATCTGGGGGCCCATCGGTGCCCGCACCAAAGGTCACTCCGGCGAAAGGTCCCTCTTGCGTCTGGCCGAGTCCGAGGGATGCCGAGGCCGGCGGGTCGAGCTCGGCCGGCCTCCTCGATGCTGGCCTTGTCCTCAGGGTTCTCGAGCTCGAAGCAGATCTGCGCGGGAGGACCGGCGGGCGGGAGGACCCGCGGGCGCAGGGCGGAGGGCCCTCCTGCCTCTCCTTGGGGTCGAGGGGCTCGCGTTTGGTCTGCCTCCTCCCTCCTCCTCCCTCCTCCTTCGCCTCCTCCTCCTGCTCCCTTTCTTCCCTGCTAAGCCTCCTCGCGTAG